TGACTGCATCGGACGCCGGAATAGTAGTCCTCACGAGATCTCTATCTCCTAACGAACTCTGCATACGATCGCGATATCGACGGATGAGGTGCTCGTCTTCGGCGTTAATCCCGTACTGAGTTGTGGGGCGAGATCCAGTGACATTAGGAGTTGACCTACTCTAAAATCTTGGAGTTGAGGGGCATTAGGATAGTTATCTTGATAATAATCTAATCGCCGACCAAATGCTGAACTGGTCGACGTGTAGGGGATACCTGAACGGGCCTCTGATGACTGTCCACCTGAGTTTGAGCCTTTGGGTTTGAAGGGGGCAGTGGGTCTGTCACTCATATTTTTTGTTCTCAATATGAAATTTGTGACTACTTTTTGTGTTACTATTTTTATTTCGGTTAAGATTTTTGAATTTATAACCATTTTTATACAAACAACGAGTTATTTGTATTATTAGCTTTCATTTATTTCTAATATCAAATTCTAAACCTAATTAAATGTCATCACTATATTTTTACCTTTTACCATTAATTTTATTTTTATATTAATTTAAATCAAATATTTTCTTATAAACATTTAACATTATTTTATTCAACATATAAAAATACAAATAAATTTATTATAACAATAATTATTACCATAATAAAAGTTACACAATACAGTAAATACTTTAGATAATTAAGAATACTTATTTAAATAAAATTTTTAAAAACATTTTTAATAAGTTTTTTGAGTTGTACCTGATGAACTTTTGATGTAAGTATTTCCGACAGACTATTGTTTTTCCGCAAATGTTTAATTTGTTTCAAAAGTTTTTTAAACATTGAAACTAATTGTTTTCCAGTGTAAACACGTGGGTTAGTTACATGTTTGTCAAACTTTTTCAAACATTTAAGTTGACAATAATTATTAGAATTCTTACGCAAACTATTAACCACTCGTTTGTTATATTTATAATTAATATGAATCCTATTATTAATACAGAAATAATTTAAATATTCCGATACAACAGACACAACTTTATTATTAATCCGTTTTGTTTTTCGCAAATTATATTTTATTTCCATTCTTATGCTAATAAGACTTCATTAAACCTTATTGTGAACAACAAATAATATAGTAAACAAGTTTTCGTATATATATAATATTTACAGAATTTTTGTTTTCAAAATATAACGCAAACACGAGAATATCATTATTATTATAGCAATTGATATATTGATTGACATTAAAATAATGAACAGGCAAACTCCACACTGCTATTAAAATAGACTTTATTAACTTAATTTATTATATAATATGATACCAAAAACACAATTAATAGAGGCATATAATGATCGTATGACATGAATATTAAAATATTATTTAAATATAATAAAAATTATTATTTTTCAAAATAATATTTGCTGAGAAAATATTATGATTGCGTGTTTTTAACGGTAACACATATTGCATTGCCATTCATTAAAAAAATAAATTTGAGTGTATTTACTATTCTTGACACTATATTTGGGTCACATTTATATTAAATAAACTCCATTATTAATTAAATTCAAACAGTTATTGATTTTAGTCCCTTATTCTACTTGTATTGAATATTCACTTATTTCTATATTTATAATATTATTTTATCATTGTCATTACATTATTAAATTATTTTTTATTTGTATATTAAATATAGCAAAGTATTTTATTATTTGGTATAATTTTACTATTGATTTTCATTTAAAATAAATGATGATGACAATTGCTAGCTAATTTAAAACTCATTTATACTCTATTATTTCGAAACAGAATTCAATATAATTTATTTTTAGTATAAACTGTATTTAACAGTCAAGAAATTTTATGAATAAAAATTTTTTATTACTATAACACCTGGATTCTATCATTTTGTCAAACTAAAATTCATATTAATGTCATGGTAAGTTATTTATTTATAATTTGATAGCATTTATAGCAAAAACATTATTAATAATAAGTAGAATTTACTATAAACTATTTATTATAACTTAAATATAGATTATATAATTTATAATAAACAGCTAATGCAATTACTAGCATTATGAAAGTTTTTATAATAAATTATAAGTATGGTATTTTTACTTTTTGACTTTTATTCTAATTTAAGTGTATTTTCCCAAAGGTGTCAAAATATACTAAATTTATACAGATATTTTAATAATTTTTATTGTAATAAGAATTAATAGAATATTTACAAACTATTGCAATAATTTCATAAACATAAATAAATAACTACAACATTGAATCTGAAAACATAAATATAATTATTAATGTTTTTGTGGATAGTTTTGCATTTCTTGATTTTTGGTTAAATATAAATAATTAATATTCATTTGATTTTTCTCTAGAATTCTTTGCTTTAATATCCGTTTCAGTCGTCTCTGTTTCGCTTGACTGTAGAGACAATACAATGCAATCGCAGGGATGATCACTATTGTACACAACAGGAGTCCCTCCTTTCGGGTCGAGTAGTTCTTCGGCCGAAACAATGAATATAAGGAAAGGTAGCATTTTGTTGAATCCATGTCCTCTTGGAAATTGCATTCACACACACCTGTAATCATTATTTCAAATATTGATAACGTATTCACTAAATATAAAGTCAATATTTAATTTAATAACTTAGTAACGAATTGCACTTATAGACTGTAATTACTATTATATAAAATTATTTATACCATTTTATACATAAGTAAAGAACTCATTAATGGCATCTAACTTCAATTATTAGTACTGAATCTTATTTAACATAAAATTATGAGAAAAGTTACTTTTAAATTAATCAAATAATTATTTTTAATTATTTCGATAGTCTACTTTTTAAAACTATTACTTTCTACCAATTTATTGATATTTTAATGCAATTAAAAAACCCAAAAATATTTCTAATAAATAGCTGTATAGTAGTCGTACTGACCGTCAATACACTCGCGATTCTCATCGCCATTAGTCCAACAGTCGGAGTCTTTGGTGCAGTTGAAGGCCTGACACTCCTGTGCCCTGCCGTTCATCACCGACCGATAGTTGGGCCGACACTGACACAGGAAGTCCACGCAAACCATATGATTGGAGGCATTGGTTCCCAGCCCTCTATCGCAGTCGTCGTTATTGAAGCAAAACTTGCGGCACTTGAATGAGCGCTTGTCCTCGTAGTAGCCGTTCCCGCACTCGCACTTCGCTCGGAACAGATTCACCGCCAGGTTGTGATCGCACCGCCTATTCTGGTCGTACGTATCGCACCGCTCGTCTCCGTCCCGAACATCTGTCGCGCAGTTATACGACTCGCACCGACCCCTCGTCACATCCCAGCGATGGTCGGGTTTGCAGCGACAGTAGCTGTCCAGACATACCTGACCGGCCGTACAGTTCTCATTAATATCACAGAATCCGTTGATTCCTATGTTTGAGACAAACTTTTCGTCTAATTTCTTATCACTGATTGTTTGCACAACACTTGAGTTACTGTCAGCGCAGTCAACGCCAACTAATACTATACTTATTGTTAATAATAACGAGTAATACATTATCCAAACCATTATAGACTCATATTTAATACATATTTTCACAAATATTTTCTATTAACACACATAAAAATTATTAAAAACTATTTATTCAACGAAACACTCGTGAAAATGATATACAATTCACTCACAAATACACTATTTTTCACTCTTTCGCGACGTTTGTTAGCAATTATTACAGAAATTTCTATTTCTATAGTAAATGCATAAAAATTGTTTGTCATTCAGGATATGAAATCAGTAGACAGTACACTATACCTCTAATTATAGTGAACGTTAAGTAACCAAGCAATAGATTCATGCGTTATATGGTGTACTCACTAATCAAATTGTAAATAATTTCATAAACAATAAATTAGTGAACATTTATATAATGATAAATTTTTATTATACACTATTCATTAGTACATATTGCAGAAAGTGTTGTTATAACGAGTGTTTATTATAGCAAGTACCTTTTCAGGTAAATATTATCACCTAAAATATTATTTGAACTTCACTTAATGATAAGCTTTCATACGATAGACATTATAATTGTATTAATCATATTATATTGACGTATAAGTTATAATCAACATATCACTATAGCTGTCGATAAAACATTAATAAAACTATTTTATAATAACTTTAATTCTGTAAAAAATCACATAAATTTGTTGTCAAACACCATGTATAAAGAATTGAAATAAAATATTTTGTATAAATAGCTTTAAAATCAGATAATATTTTTACATTATTCACAAAAATATTGTGTTTTACTGTAAAGTTTTGGCGATAATAATCACTGGCAATGAATTCAAGGTTTTACGTGAATTTTAATACAGTATACTATTTGTTATAATATTTTTTGAAAAGTTTTCACTTGTAATGCACAAAAGGTCTACAACTCTATGGTCTCGAATCACTTACGAGTTAATGATGTCTTTCCTCTTGTCATGAAATGAAAGCATATCTTAAGTTAAATGACTTAACGCTTCAAATAATTTCTCTGTCTTTAAATAAAATATATACATTTTAAGCAAAATTATGTATTATTAGACTCTTTTGGGTTATTTTATTTATTGTTCTAAAATTTCCCTTATGGTTCCCTGATCATTATTTTGAAATATACAAAATGTACTAAAGTTTGAACTTATTTATGCTCTTGGTAAAATTCCAGTAGTTCAAGAAAAATACTTGATCAAAAATAATGGTCATATTAACTCATAGGATGATACTGTTGACTGATATTCACTTGCTATGCCAATTGGCATGCACTTGATGTATCAGACATGGAATTCCTTCTATGCTTTCCTATGGGTATCGGACCACTTATAGTTTGGAAAAACACTTTCTATGCATTAATTAAAAATTATTTTATGTAAAGTTTACAGTTTCTTCAATTCAGTACATAACAATAAATTACATTAAATAATAATGAAAATAATTTTCTATAATATATTCTACACTTCTATACTGATACTATTGATATTACTTAAATGTATAAATGTTAATTAATAATTATTTTTGTAGAGGCGTTACTACAGTAAATATAATTAAAGTTACAAATATTTGTTGTATAAAAGGATTTTTTGTGAATTAAAATAATATCATTAAAGTATATGCATTAAAATATAAAACATTGTTACATTTTTATGTAATAAATTTCAACTTAATAATTAGAAAATGAAATGTCGTGGTCATAATTGTCTAATAGGATCCTTATTTTGATCGCTTATTATACTACTATAATATTGTAGTCGTATAACAGCATTTCCCGGCTAATGTATTAATTTTAATGAATTCCTATTATTCTCGGACCACTTCTTATTAAAGCATACATTTTAATTATACACAAAAAACAATTTTGTGAATATAGTTTACAGTTTTTTTTATAAAAAAAAGTTACAGTAATAATTATTTTTATAAGAAATATTAACTTATAAATAGAAAATAAAACATGGTCATAATTAGCTTATATGACTCTTAGTTTATGGGACCATAGATAACTTAATTAATTAAGTTTGAAGCCGTAAAAATGATTTGAATTATATTAATGAAGTCCTATTTAATATTAATAAAAGTAACGGACATATGGACTCATAGGATGGTAATGTTGATTGATATTCATTCGCTTCACACAATGGTATGCTTTTGATGTATAAGACGTGAAATTCCTTTTAGGCTTTCCTATGAGTGTCGGACCACTAATTAATCATAAATTGATTTTAAAAATATTTTATGAAAAATTTGTATTTTGTAAATTGAAAATACCCTAAAATTATTCAAAACATTACATATATGACCAAATAATTATTTTATTTATTTATACAATATAAAAATACAGATAACATTATAAAATAATTGCCATAAAATGCTACCCTGTTCCCTTTATTCGTACATTTATCACCATTATTTAGATCACTAACATAGTTGACACGACAAACACATTTACCAGTATTTGCATCACAAATACGGTTGGGATCATAGGTCTGGCAATCCCTGTCCACATCGCACGCGAATCGTTTGCATTCATAGGCCGTGTTTTGAGTGTACCTATAATTTGGGGCACATTTACAACGCCTGTCCACACAAATATGATTAGACATCCAATTGCAGTCATCCTTGGCTGTGGAGCACAGGTAGTTATATTTGGACGACTCGTGGATACATTTACCGCCGTTTTGAAAGTCTGGTCTCAATGAGGTCCGGCACAGGCATGAGGTGGAGGGCCGGTAGATATTGATGTCTGTATGTGGGGGCGCGCAGTACCGGTTGGGTCGACACTCCCAGCTATTGGTGCAGTTGAATGGCATACACTTGTGGTGCTTATTATCCCATTTATAATTATCCGGCTGACACACACACTCGTTGTCAATACACACTTCATATTTGTCCGAACAATCGTAGTCATTATAGCACCATGATGAATTCATTGCACTTAAAAATGATATCAAAGTGCATAGTATAAAACAAATCATTATATTTTTGTTTAACATTATTATTTATAATTAATGTTAAATATAATATTAAATTAAAATCAATAAATTAAGGATTTAAATATTTTGATTTAATATATGATCATAAACAATCTATAATTATTAGTCAAGCAAATAGGTTACATTTAAAATTATATCAATTTCGATAATTTTTATATAAACTTCTGTCTATTTCTAATAAAACCAAATATTAACAAATATTTTACTATTTAAATCGTTTCTTCAGTATAGAAAGTGTTAATATAAACAGAGTTAAGATATTGCCTTTTAAAATGAATGATTAGATAATAATTGTTGCATAAAAAGGAAGTTACACTCAATTTTTGAGTTTATTAAAAGTATCAAATATATTCATTTGTCAATATTATAAAGAGATAAATGTTTCATTTAAAGTATAATAAATTATTTTTAATAATATTCAACTAGTATAGTTATATTTAATATTTATTATTGCAATACAGTAGTATTTTATAGTAGGTTAAAATTTTATAAAAAGTAAAATTCAAATTTATTTTAGTTAATTTATTTTACTGTACTGTACATAACATGTTTTATAGTTTATAATATCGGGACATTTAGAAACATTAGGATAAATGTATATGAGTTTATAATATACAAAAAGATCAATCGATGAATAAAAATGAATGACTATTGATAAATAATTTGTGATAAATGTAAGCTAAGTTTGAAAACTTTTATTAGTTTCAATGAGTAAACTCTGCTTTCAATGTAAATTTATTTATCAATAGTTCTTCATTTTTATTCATCGATTGATCTTTTTGTATATTATACACTCATATATTGGATTATGATAATATAAGCATTATTTTCATATAAAAGTAACTTTATTTTGAATTTTAAAATCCTTTAAGAAATTAATAACTTTTTTAAATTAATTATTTTTTATAAACTTTCAAGTGAAATATTATTATAAAATGTGATATAAAATAAAATGAAAACATTTGGTGGTATGTGGTCTGGTAGCTCATGAGATCATACTTTAACACTTTTCAGTATTAATCATTGGTCTGAGCTATTCATTGTCACATTCATTTGAATTGGATCCTCAAAAACATCGTTTCTAAATTAAACACGGTAGGTTTACATTAAATTTAAATATTAATTAATAAATTTTTTAATATTACAGTATTACAACGTTAAATTTGAATAAATATTTAATATCTCGTATGAGAGATCACTAAATTGTAATACTCAATGAACTACAGTTAAAATGACCATAATTTTTTAAGCCAAGTTATTTATTAATTAATCAAATGAAAAAATAAACAGAGTTAATATTTCTAATTTTTTTATAATTTAGCAAAATTGTTACTGTGTAATAAGATATAATTATCTTAATAATCCACTATTATAGCATCACTAATGCCTTTTAAAATAGTTTGCATTAATATGTTTTGATTTAGACTTTGTTTCACTTTCCCGGTTGAGATATTATCGCCCAATTCATAGTCCATTGAATCCCAGTCCTCATCTCTAAAGCTGTATATAAATGCTGGGATGGCATGTGTTTTGCATAATTTCATTATACAATCCAAATACA